CAACCTTAGTTAAGGCACAGTAGATATTTGTCTATTTCTACCCAAATTAAGGAAACCATGTGTGTTGGTTGCATTTATGGTGTGCATGTGAGTGAACACATATGCCTACACCATTGTTTTTATTCCATCATAAAAACCATCACTATAATGCTCCAAAATTACAAACAGACATAACACAGTAAGTTCAATTAACTAGTCGAATTATAAAATAATAATACTTTCCAGTCATAAGGTAAAATTTTATTTTATTTTTGGCCTTATACGATTTATTCATTAAGATAAATAAAAAATAGAAAATATACTATACATTTGATTTAACCTTGTCATAAGGTAAATAAAGAAAAAGTCGAAAATATACTATACATATGATTTTTTATTTTTATTTTTTCACATACCGTCAGCGTAATTTTTTTTAAGTCAATCGGTAAATTATTTTCAATTATGTTTCATGTCGGGAGTATTAAATATGGGTATCCCTCTAGCTAGTGTACCATTAACAAACCAAATGTCCTTCATAATATATCGTTTTCGTTTTTCATTTTCATGTGCCATGCCATTGAGTTTAAGGTAAACTATCTGTACTAATATTACAGAAGAGTAGAAGCTCTCACTATAAGAATAAACTACACAGACATATGCGTACTTTATGATATGTCGAGCCTAATCAAATAAAGTTCGACTCTCGTATAGAACCATGCCTTTCGTGTCTTTAACGTGCTGCGCTTCAATTTTGATCTTACACCTCATAAATGTTTTTCCCCCCTACCAAAATGTAACAAACGTGCCAACATGTTTAACACTTTCTTGCGTCATTTATGAGACGGGTCGTTCTAGAAAACCCTCGAAAAAGGAATGGTTGATCTGAGTGCCCTGCCTTAAACTAGATCTGATCATGTGTTAACCTAGCTCAAAGTTAAATATATGGGGGGAAAAACTATCTTTCCAGTAATCTGCACTGGTTATTAGAGAAAAGATAGGATTATTGAAGAGAAAGATGGGTTTTTGTACAGTTATATAATAATAACTCTCCCCCTTCTTTCACTTTCTTATCATCTCCAGAGTTGAAACTTTGCACTCAAGGGCCTGAATCACGCCTCCGAGAGGAAAGAAGTGAACACCTCAATATATCTCCATGAAGAATCATGAAATCTTAGTGCCTAGTGGCTTTAATGTATGCACATCAATCTCAAGTTCTCAACAGAAACGAAAAAAAAAAACAAGCTGATTTCATAGCAGGAACACAAACCAGCTCTAGATGCGGCTTCTCAAGTATAATTTAAACCATACAGAACATTGACGTTGCATAGCTTGCATTAATAGTAAAGGTAGCGATAGAAAATTCCGAGCATGGTGAGCTACAGTCAACAAAAACTAGCCACCTAACCTGCTGGGACATTTCAAAAATCAACAAAGCCACCTTTCTCATTCGGCGTCTGGGGAACCTCCGGGAACCAACTGCATTCACATAGGAATTTTTAGCAAAATTATATATCTAAAATCAATAAGTTTGAAGTACAAAAAAAGATTCAGAATTGAACAGAAGTCCAGCTCATAATTCTACCAAAAGGACATCATAAAAGAGGTTCAGATTCTAATCAAGCTGTATGTTAACTGATACTTAGAACTTGTAAATATTAAAAGCACTGCAATCTAAAAATACTGAATGGCAACTTTTTTTCTTTTGCGCAACAGTGCTTACAATCGCAATGTTGTTCCCATTGAGAAGAATCTGATCAAGTTTTGTAATACGTCGGCCTTCCGAAGTAATTTCACTGTTAGTAAAAGAAATAAACAATGAGCTAGTCAGGTGAATTGGCAATCCACACATTACAGTAGTATGTCAACCAACCAGCATCAAAAGTAACTAGAAGGTCATATCAAGTCAATCATATATAATCAACTGATGGCAAGGATGGCACGGTAATATGACTATGCACAAATAACTAACCTGAACTAAAACTAGCAAACACAAGACAGATCAATTTGGGAAACTGGAGAATAGGATGCTTTTAGAAGCCCCAAAAATGCAATAGCAATAATAACCACATTACCAGATAAAACCATCCAATTCATTAAGCTATCTTCCTTTGTAACCTCCACAAAAATTCTTAAAACCCCACTAATTCTATAGTGTCTAGAAACTGATTTTTTTCAAAACTGCATCATCTGCTTTGAGAACACACACACTGACCGTATTTGCATTGTTTTAAGGTATCAAGACTCCTCCTGTGCACTCGACGCCTTTACTACATGTCCTTAGTGTACAACTCACCATTTCTTGACGTTTTCACTCTCTTTGAACTGTCCATTTATTACATAATTCTCCAACTGAAGTCCCAAACAAGTGAAAACGTTTACCACTAACGATAGAGGAAAAAGAACGCTGAAAACGTAAGCTAAACCAACATTCCTCAGTGTGCAGAAACTTTTACTAATTGCTCCTGTGACGAGAATATTTCCAGTCATCACATCACATACATTAAAACACTCTGATCCATCTACTGTGTCCCCATTGCAATCTATCAAGCAGTCGACAAAAATCGAGTCTTTCAACAAGTAGTATACAAATTGACTATACAAACAAACAAATAACCAAAGGCACCAAAAAAATATATAGAAGGAAAGGCATTTTAACACACACAAAACACAGAGATTGTGGAGCAATGTACAGACTATTCAGTGACGTCCTCCAGCACCATGTTGACGTAAACATCGAAGCCCCTAAGAGTGCCCACGAGCTCCTTGTCTCCTTTCATGATCACCCATATTTTCGAACCGATGCACCGATCGATCAGCTCTGAGTTCACAGCACATCGATTGGAAAAAATCCAATTAAACACATGACAAACAAAAAATGACAGTTCCTTTCAGTCGAACAAGTGCACATACAAAGAACTAAAATTCATTAATATGGATGTATAAAACCTGATGGGAGGAGCTGCGACGGATTGCTGGCCATGTTGATTTATCTTCGAGCAGATACAATTTTCTCTCTTGCGCAGGTTTCTATCTTTCTTTCAAATTTGGCCCCTTTCTGATAAACCCTAGCTTGAATCAGATTTTTGTGGACGTCTTCGGAATTGGGCTACCGACAGCCCAATTATAAATTAATATTTTTTTTTGGTACAAATTATAAATTAATTTTAATAATTATAATAATATAGTAATTAATTTTATGTTTAAGTGTAGGATCCATTTTTTTATTTTTATTTTTTGGTTTTTGACCCGACCGATCCGGCGGGTCGACCCGAGAGCCGGTCGACTCGGAGCTGAAACTGGTCCGGGTGGGCTATTTGGACCGGGCAATAAAGGACCCGGTCAAAACTCGGCCAACCCGACCTTGACCCGGCCGGGTAAACCCAGTCCATATATATTTTTTAAAATTTATTTATTTTATTTTTTTGTTTTTTTTCCAAAATAAAAATATGTATATATATGTTTATATGGTATATATTATTATCATGAGATACATATTATTAACACTTTAATTTATAAATTTTATACACAAAATATTTAATTTTGTTACTTTTATGTATATTTATATGACAAAAATACTCTGTATATTTTAAAAAATTTTAAAATTAATATCCAGTTCAACAATTGACCTGATGATTGAACTGCTGACCCGATTACCCAGAGACATGCCCAGTCAATTAGCGGGCCGAGTTTAAAAACTATGGTCGAAGCTCAAAGGGGAGGGGAGAGAAAAAAAACACACACACACGCAACCCTAAATTATAATTTAACATTTATTTTGTTTTTATTTATTTATTTTATTTATTGTTTAATCTTTTGACCTTTTCATTTGATCGGCGATTCGGCGTACAACCCAAGCCGACCACTGAATTACCTTCACCAGTGGCCATCAATGGAGTATTTGCTCCCAACGCTGAGAGAGAAGAAAGGGGTCGACAATCTCATCAGAGACACCTTGGACAAAGTCCTCGTCCTTCGGTTTGGCCGCTCCTCCGACGCCGTCTGCCTCCAGCTCGACGACGTTGTATGTTCCTTTCCCCCAATTTTTACTTTTTTTGCGGCTGGATTTTTGCGATTTGCTTACTAATCGATTGCATCGGCAGCTGTACAAATCAGCGAGGGACGTCTCCAGATTCGCGGCGGTGGCGCTGGTGGATGTCGACTCGGAGGAGATTCAAGTCTACGTCAAGTATTTCGACATCTCGTTCATCCCCTCCACCGTTTTCTTCTTCAATGCTCACCACATGAAGATGGACTCAGGGTATGACCGCACACTCTCGTTAATCAATTGCAGTCTGAAGTATTGCGAGTAGTACATTCTGTTCTGAAAGTAGTACATTCTTGCGTGATATGTTTCTAAGATTGAGCCGAGCAGAACCGGAACTGTATTTTTTTTTTTCCTAAGATAAGAATGTTTTATGAATGGATTTAAGATGGGTTATTGTTGCTGTTGTTGAGATGCTTTCTGTTTGCACCTTATGCCTGAAAAGTAGTACCTTGTTTGAATTGCTTATAGTTATTCCCCACTTCTTGCAGAAGTGCAGACCACACTAAGTGGGTCGGTATATTTCAGACGAAACAGGACTTCATTGATGTTGTAGAGGTAATCTTCTACTGGATATTCAAGTTATCGTGTTAATTTTCGTACACACATGATCTGAGAATCCAATAATTCCGCCTGACATATGTATAAGAAGTCTCAGTAGGATTTCATATTCAGGTTTCTTTTGGTCATTGACTATATTCCTCTCGGTGCATGAACATCACTGATTAAATATCTAATTAATCACCTTATGATTTTGGTGCATGAACACCAGACAATCCTTTTCGTTTTTTTTTTTCGATGATATAATTATTTTTTCCGGAAACTCTGCATTTCATGAAAAAGAGACTAGTGGCAACTTCTAAGTTCTTTTAGAGGGAGCTAATCTTTAATAATGTCCTGCTGAATGCCATGCTTATCTTCTTGTAAAATAGTGACCGAATAGGGAATATATATATTTGGGGATGATGGGCTTACTAAAACTTGCAATGCAACTGAATGTTAGTCTTATATATTAGGAAAATGTTGTTTGTATAAGGTGCGTATATGAGGTTTGGCTTCGTTGGATTGCAGGCAATATACAGAGGAGCCATGAAAGGCAAGCTGATCGTAAGTTGTCCACTGCCCCCAGAGCGTATACCGAAGTTTCAGTTGCTGTATAAAGATGTATAAGAGGTAATCGTTTTTAGGAGTTCACATAGGGTTTCTATATTGCTGTTTGTAATTGTTTAAAGATGACCCCATTTGTTATTTGAGCTTCTGTTCTGTGCTGTAAATGAGGAAAGCTAATGCATGTTTTCAGATTCTTGATTTCTGATCGTGAATCGTATCGTATGGCGGGTTTTTCTGTTCAAGATTTAATACAAAAGGGCCATGCAATACATATAGATGACTACAAAATAAACAATAGGACTCCAGTAACTGAGCTCAATCGAGATCCAGTTTTATGGAAAGATATGTATATATTTGAGCTTTTCTATTCATTAGCTATATATGCATTTACTCATTTGAATGTGATGAGTTTATTCATTTTGAATGAACTACACTCCAAAAATCTGCAAAATCAGCTTAGTTATGGTCCTGTTAACATTGCTCTATATTAAACAGCATAAAACTGCTTGATCCATTTATGAGTTATGACTCAATTTGATAAACCAGTGCACTGTGCAGATCAGCGGCCTTTATCAACATTTTCTAAAGTGGATCAAACATTTTGTAAAGATAGGGAAATGTTACATTCTCGTTATGAAAATATTCCGTCGGATTTATAACCATTAGATCATTATGTAATCGTCGTGAATAGTTGATCTAACGGTTGTAAACTTCGATGAAATTGTTTCGTAACGGGACCGTAGAATCTCACATATAATATGTTGGCCTTAAATTTTAGTGTTACCAAACATTTCGATAATATGTGGGTTTTACGGTTGACTTTGGGAAAGTGGCCCCATATTTGCGCAGCAGGTGCGAATCAGATGACCTTTTTGTGAACCCTACAATGGATAACTAAAACCCAGTATATATTTTCAAACTAGAAATGTCCTTAAATATTATTATAGCGTTGATTTCTAACGATTCTGCACATCTTTTGTCAAAAATTGGGCTAGAAACAAAAGATAAAAAGCTAATAAAAAGATAACGGTTCTAAAGTCAGTTGTCTACTTATCTATGGTATTTGGAATTTAATATATTGGACAAAAATTTCAAGATAAAAAATGGAGAAATGCTACAGTCTCGTTACGGAACTATTCTGTCGGAATTTGTAACCGTCGTGGATAGTTGATCTAACGATTACAAACTCCGATGGAATTGTTCCGTAACGAGACCGTAGAATCTCCCTAAAAAATGTTGCCATATAACACTGAAGTTTTTCGTATGAGATAGTTAAGGTTGGTTGATCTCTTATATATTTTTCTCTATAAAAATAAATATTTATATGAAATGTTATGTTTTTATTTGTTGTTTTTTAAAAAATAACATTTCAGTTAAAAATATTATATGTACTGAAAAAAGCGTGATTGTACTTAATAATATCCTTCACTACTATTTCGATATGAATATATAACAATAAAAAATGAAAGTTATATACTTGCCTGATTTTAACTCTTGATTCAGGTGATAAGCGTCCATCTTTGTACCAAAAAAAAAAAAAGAACATGATGAGTTTAAATGGCAACCTCGCATGTTTCGGGATTTTATGTGGTAAAATTACATGCTTCGTTATTAGGATATATTTTAATTTTACTTCCGATCTAAAAATAATTAGGTCCGAATTATTTAGAAATATGTTGACTATTTATGGTCATGTTATATGTATTAATTATATTTTAATATAATTTTTATTATAACTGGCAAATCAATCCTAAAGAAGAGCCTCATAAGTTATGGGCTTAGGAACCATTCTCGTAGATCCATTCCGGGCATCCAACCTTCCCTCTTCTGGCAACGTCGAGACTCACAAGCCCTCCTCTCCCAAAGGTCGAGTATCTTCAAACCTGTTGAAATGTAAATTGCCAGCCTTCACTCTCATGCTTCCCTACCCCTATATTTACGCCTTTGAACTAGGCCAAAATTTGGAGTACCTAAGGGGTTGATTGTTTATGTTTTGAATAGTAAAAAATCTAGAATTTTTTAATTAGGGTTAAGTTTAAAAAAAAGTGGTAAAGTTAGTTGTTAATGGATATATTAAAATAGTATTTGAAATAAAATAGTTAAAGTTGATTTGATGTAAAAGTAAGAGAAAATGATTGGAAGTGGTAGTTAGTTAAAATTAGTTAAAATTATGTGAGTACATGAATAGTGAATTAAAGTTGATGTGATATGTAATAATGATTTGTTGATGTTATTTAATTATATAATAATATTGGAGATAGTGTGGTTGAGTTAAAGTTGAGTTAAATTTGAATTTGAGTAAAAAAAATTGATGTACAAATGGTAAACAATCACCCCCTAAATTAACGGGATTCGGAGTCCCCCCGATTGGGGATATTTGAGGTTGTCTACGAGCTCGTTATAGACGTTGATTTTCGAAATCACGAATTTCGGATGAATGCAATAAGACTTTTGCATTTCTTATCAGTTTTACATATATAATATATCAAATTAACCATTAACATCCATATTGTATGTATAAAAATAATAAATTATATTTAACTTTAAAATTTAAGAATAATTTATTAACAAACACTTGTGCAATGTTGTACTATTTGTATTAAATTTGGAACAAAATATATATTTTCACCAATTGCCACATTTTACTAAGAAAAATATGTGAAATATAATTGAGCCGAGTCATGTTCAATCCATGCGAATTTCATCCAGTGACGTTCCAACTTTTTCCCTTTATTTCTTTTTATCTATTCAAAAAAATGTTCACTAACTTTTTTAAGAGCTTGGTTCATTTTCAATAATTCAAATTAGTATATATTCCTCTTGGTTTAACATATGTTTTAAATTCTTATTGTTTTCTTGTACTCTTATTTAAATGAGATTATTGGTTTATACTTTTCAAAATGAATTTATATTAGGTGTTACTTTACCAAATACAATATGACAAACATAATAATTAAATTGAATAATTGTTGATTTATGTGATGCATGTAAGAAACTGGGGGAAAGGAAAGCCCATATGAAGCCCAAATGAGGTTCCATCCCAAAACCAATTGGTGAAAGGAGGAGTAGCCCATTAGACTTATAAGGTGGGTCTATTTTCTATGTGTGAACGATGTGGGACAACTCACAAGTGATATTCTAACACGCCCCCTCACTTGTGAGTCCTGATATCATATCTCTAACCCAGGCACAAAGTGGGCTCTGATATCATGTCTCTAACCCAGACACAAAGTTGGGCACAAAGTGGGCTCTGATATCATGTCTCTAACCCAGACACAAAGTTGGTCGGGCTCTGATATCATGTCTCTAACCCAGGCACAAAGTGGGCTCTGATATCATGTCTCAAACCTGACTCTGATACCATGTAAGAAACTGGGGGAAAAGGAAAGCCCATATGAAGCCCAAATGGGGTTCCATCCCAAAACCAATTGGTGAAAGGAGGAGTAGCCCATTAGACTTATAAGGTGGGTCTATTTTCCATATATGAACGATGTGGGACAACTCACAAGTGATATTCTAACACGCCCCCTCACTTGTGAGTCCTGATATCATGTCTCTAACTCAGACACAAAGTGGGCTCTGATACCATGTCTACCATGTCTCTAACCCAGACACAAAGTCGGTCGGGCTCTGATATCATGTCTCTAACCCAGACACAAAGTAGGCTCCGATATCATGTCTCTAACCCAGACACAAAGTTGGTCGGGCTCTGATATCATGTCTCTAACCCAGACACAAAGTGGGCTCTGATACCATGTAATATCATGTCTCTAACCCAGGCACAAAGTGGGCTCTGATATCATGTCTCTAACTTAGACACAAAGTTGGTTGGACTCTGATATCATGTCTCTAACCCAGGCACAAAGTGGGCTCTGATACCATGTCTCTAACCCAGACACAAAGTTGGTTGGGCTCTGATATCATGTCTCTAACCCAGACACAAAGTGGGCTCTGATACCATGTCTCTAACCCAGACACAGACACAAAGTGGGCTCTGATACCATGTAATACACAAAGTCGGTCGGGCTCTGATATCATGTCTCTAACCCAGACACAAAGTGGGCTCTGATACCATGTAAGAAACTAGGGGGAAAATGGAAAACCCATATGAAGCCCAAATGAGGTTCCATCCCAAAACCAATTGGTGAAAGGATGAGTAGCCCATTAGACTTATAAAGTGGGTCTATTTTCTATGTGTGAACGATGTGGGACAACTCACAAGTGATATTCTAACAATGCATAATAAATTAAAGTTTGGGCATTATACCAAAGAATTATAAGAACTCAATCATGTACGAATGAGCGGATATAAACAAAATTTTACAAGTTATATGTCTCTGTATATAATATTTAATATCTATCATTATATTAAAAGAATAACCTTTTTATGATTTCCCGCCAAAATCATTATTTTCCCTCCAAAATCATTAAATACCCGCCAAAATCATTATTTTCCCTCTAAAATTATTAAATACCTGCTAAAATCATTGTTTTCCCTCTAAAATCATTAAATAAACAGTGATATAGTGTTAACAAAAGAAAAAAAAAAAAACCGTGCGTTGATTTTTGTGATATTTTTCTTTTTCCTATTTTTTTAGGTTAATAAAATAATACATGCGATGATTTTTGTGATGTTTCTCTTTTTCCTATTTTTTAGGTTAACAATATAATAGATATTGTATTGATTTGTTTCCTTTTCATTTAAACTCTTTTTAGGCAGAAATTTCGAAACATTACATCTGATTTAATGTGTAAATATTGGTTTTTTTTTCTTTTTTTTTTTTGACCGAAGGTGTATTAAATTAGCCTTATAATATTTTAGTTATTTTAAAAAAATTGTTTAGATATTTTTTTTTTATATATTCGTCTATAGATACACATATATACATATACATAATTGATGTTAAATTTTATTATTTGTAGACATTCTTTTTTTACAAAATAATCTAGATTTTTTTTTACATAATGTTAAATTCAAATGTTTGTAGATATGTTTTCTTTCTAAAATTGTTTAGAAAAGTTGTAGATGACTTCATATCTTTTAAAAATAATATAGAAAATTTTGAATACTTTTACATATACTAATATAATATTTTAGGTGTTTTTAATATTAAACATACAAATTTTATATTCTATTATACAAAATAATATAAAATTTATATTCTCTTATACAAAAAAAATTTACATTGTCTGACCCCAACACTTTAATATGTAATTATTATTTTTTCTCTTCCTCTTTTTAAATAGGATCAACAGTAGTTTCCACTTCCGCCATTGAGTGACTCAAACTCGAGGTATATTTATAATATTGTTAATGTAATATTGTTACCGTGCATCGCACGGGGTACACACTAGTTATAAGTTAAATAATTAACATTTCACATTTTATAAATTTTATCATTAGTAAAATAAATAATATAAAGTATAAATAATTTAACTTATATATGAATCACTATATTGATTGCGGCCATGTAATTTTTGCTTTTTTGTTTGAGTAGTTGTGAACAATTAATTAGATAGAAAATATTAAACTTATTATTACACCAATTTTGTAAAAATTTTTACGGGGTTTGATATTTTCCTAAAATAATTAATAAATTTTATTTAAAAAAATTGCTTATATTGAGCTGGAAAAATTAATTACTTTAGGTAACATTTTAAAAAAAATAACTAAGCAAACGAAAAAATTGGGTTTTCCATTAAATTCTTAGTTTACAATTAATATATATATATATATTTATATATTAAACATTTATAAATAAATAAATGACTTGGTACATATTTAACAAATTTGGTTTGATATACTTTTCAGAAAAATGCTATAGTTCCGTTACGAAACTATTTCGTCGAGTTCGTAATTGTTAGATCAACTATTTTCAAGATGATCTAACGATTACAAACTCGACGAAATGATTACGTAGTATTTCCTTAGTTTTCGTATTATAATTTTTCAAGTATTTGTAAGAATTAAAAAAGTGGGTCGCATTATAAATTTGTAAGTACCCAACGCGCTAATCGTCGCGTTTATTTATGGTTACCCCGACAAATGGCCATTAGTTTCTCTAGCAGTTTCTCTCTCTCTCTTTTCTGCTAAAGCATCAAAGCAGAGTCTACTCTACGAATCATTTTTCCCCCTCATACATGCAACCAAGCAAGCTTACTATGTTCGTACATGATTGTATATAATTAATCATATACACATTGAACTAAGGAGCCATGTCAATCGAAGCTTCACCGGATCTGGATCACAAACGGAGTCCGGCGGCTCCGGCCATGTCGCCGCCTCGAGAAGCCGCCTCTACTAGCTCCGGTGAAGTTTCCGTTCAGTTCGAGAAAGATGCTGCGGAGGTTGCTGCCGCCGTTCCGCTCTCAAATGGCGGCAGCAGCTCTTCAGGTGAAGTATCTCTTCTTCTTCGTTTTTTACCCTATCGAGGTTTGATTGGATGAGCGGTGGGGGTTGGAGTAAGTTGATGAGTGCACGATGTGTTTGTGGTGGATCGTGTTTAGGATTTGGGGATTGATGGTGCCCTATATGCTTGTTTTGACGTGTTTAGTTGGTTGGATTTGGAAAAAAGTGAGAATTATTGCATTTATCTCCGCAGGCAATTTAGGGGCGAATTTTTCTAGGGTAAACACAACGCCTCCGGAATTTTTGAGCTCTGAGAAGCTGAATCTGCCTTTGGTGTTGGAGCGATCGAAAACCGAGAGGCAGAGGCGCAATAATGTACTTGCTAAAGAGGCTGCTCAGATCTTTGACGATCGTATGCCTGTGCAACAGAAGGTATTAATCTCTGTTGGAGTATCTGTGGTTATTTTTGTAATATGGTTTACATTGCACAGAATTTGAATTGTGTCTCTATAGCAACTTTTTGGCAACATGTCTTTGCTTGATTAAGGAAATAGTGTACTGTGGTTTACTTTGTGCTGTATCTGAATTATGTCTTCATGTGGTTTACACTGCGCGGAATCTGAAATATGTCTCTATAGCAACTTTATGGCAACATGCCTCTGCGTGTTTAAGGAAATAGTGTTGCATGGGTAATATGACACACCAGTTTCTAAAATAGAAAAGTCGATGTGCTCGAAGGTAGTGAGGTTAGTACATTTATTTTCGGTGATATGTGTACACAGTATGGCCTCAGTTGGGGCTAGAGGGGTGCAGTGTTGAGCTAGATGATGTTAAAGAGGTATAGCGAGCTATTATTGAAATTTTCTGCTAACTAGAATTGTCAAACAGGTAGTAATGAAAATCGATATCCTTAGTATTTGTATTTTGTGGATTTTTGAACAATTGAACAGGTCTGTGGTGTTGTACGGACTCATACCTTAGACTAACTGTTTCTACTCTAAGATTTTCGTTAAGGATTCAGGGACTCCTGCAATAGTCTTTTGGGATACTGCAAACTTTTTATGGCCCGTTGGATGATTCTTTTAATCTCATCATATGGAATTCCCTTTCTTTAAGTTACCATTCATGTTTATTCCTAGACATTTTGCTTGGTTGCTTTTTTTTTTTTTCCTTCAATTTTTCCTCAGAACTTCCACTGTAGTAATATGTGTCACAGAAGCAAGTGTTGTGTTGTTTTTTAGTTGTCCATTTTTCCGTACCTCACGTATGGCCAAGCCTTCACTACATGTATGGGTTGTTCGTTATCACTGCATCTGCAATTGATAAAAGAATACATGTATGGGATCTTTGTTAAGCATTTAAACCCCTGCAGCTCAAATTGTTGAACAGAATAGCTACAGTCAAACATGATGGAACTGTAGAATTTGAAGTTCCAGTAGATGTTGAACCTCAAAATCTTGGAGTTGGAAACGGAAGTGTGTACGGTGAAGTGGATGACGAGCCACCTGATGCAACAGAACTTCAGGATATTCCTCCACTGCAAATCGTAATGCTTATTGTTGGAACTCGGGGAGATGTACAACCATTTGTTGCAATTGGAAAGCGGCTACAGGTATGAGTTAGAATCTGTAGATGCTCATTAACTATCTTACTTCAAATTAACTATGAATTAGTAAGGTAATTTTGTAGAAAGGTGGACAAGGTTTACTTTCCTTTTGAAAGAAGATTATATTTTCATATAAAATTTACCTCGATTATTATGGGCCAGACTCTCTAGCTTCTTTGTGAAACTGTTAACAAGGATGCTTGGGTGCAGGATTATGGCCATCGTGTCAGATTGGCCACTCATTCCAATTTCAAAGAGTTTGTGTTGACCTCTGGCTTGGAATTCTATCCCCTTGGTGGTGACCCCAAAGTTCTTGCAGGATGTATGTACTACTGCTGTTTTTAAATTTGCTGGAGTTATGTTTGTGAATCTAATATATCGCACGGCTTTGATTTATCACATGCTGATTGATGTGATTACAAATAACAATGCATGTGGTCAATGAGTATCGATTGAGTATGGTATTGGTGGACTATACATGAAGTTGTGCGTATACACTTCAGTGTCTTTGACTTGAACTTGTTTATCGATGCCTGATGACTGGCCTTTGCTTTGGTTTTCAACCTTATTACGATATTTTTAATATTTCTGAACTCGGACATAGTAGGACATTGCTTCATTTCAGTAGGTTTAGATTCGGATTTCAACACTTGAATTTAGCACAAACGGCAGACCTCTGATGCAAACCATTTTGTGGTGTGATATTGCTCTTCATTGTCCTCCCGGTAGATGAATTGATTCATTTCCTTTGAACTGCATTTCCTCCTGTCATCATTTTCTCAGTTCTTCAAGTTTCGTCTTTTGGGATCACGTAAGCAGATTCCAGCATTTTATCTTAGGACCTATATTCAACTTTCGTTTAACAAAATTTGGTCTAGGTCAGTTATCTGGATGTTTATGAGAGGACACTCATAATTGTAATATATAAGTTATATAAACAATGAACTTAAGAATCTTTGTTTTTGTTTGTTTCCCGCAGACATGGTTAAAAACAAAGGGTTTTTGCCTTCTGGGCCTTCAGAAATACCTGTACAAAGAAATCAAATGAAGGAAATAATTTATTCCCTACTTCCAGCATGCAAAGAGCCTGACATCGATTCTGGGATTCCTTTCAAGGCAGATGCAATCATTGCTAATCCTCCAGCATATGGTTATATTACATGACTTGTGGATCATTTTCCATTTCTGATATTTGATTAGATGCATAATTATTTCTCTACTAACCTGGAGATCACTACAGGGCATACACATGTTGCAGAAGCATTAAAAATACCAATTCATATATTTTTCACCATGCCATGGACGTAAGTATTTTTTTCTTGTTAGATTTTTCGTCCCATAAATATGTACTTTCCGTTTTTGGTTTGCCAAAGAACCTTGGCTGCAAATGATAAGAAATCTCTAATTTTAAGTGAATCCCCTGTATGCGTTTCTAAATTTTAATATTTTTCTGCCAGGCCAACCAGTGAATTCCCCCATCCTTTATCTCGTGTAAAGCAATCAGCAGGATATAGAGTGCGTCATAGGAATCATTATTTGTTTCCTACTTTTTTTACATACTTTTTATTGTGTGTTCTCAATAATTTTTATCTTTCATTCTTTCTTTCTTTCTTTTTTTTTTTTCTTTTTTCGTTTTAACTGCAGTTATCCTATCAGATTGTTGACTCCTTGATTTGGCTTGGAATAAGAGACATGATAAATGATGTTAGGAAAAAAAAGCTGAAGTTACGACCTGTCACATACTTGAGTGGATCACAGGGCTCCGAGTCTAATATCCCGCATGGATATATTTGGAGCCCACACCTTGTCCCTAAACCAAAAGGTGAAAGTTTCTCAGCATCTTCTTATTGTAGAGTTATAAATGACTGGTTCATCCCTTCCGAATTCAGCAATTGTTATTGAGGTTTTTTCTAGCCATATTTGGCCTTGCAGATTGGGGACCAAAGGTTGATGTGGTTGGGTTTTGCTTTCTTGATCTTGCAACAAATTATGAGCCGCCAGAGTCACTTTTGAACTGGCTGAAAGCTGGTCCAAAGCCTATTTATATCGGATTTGGCAGCCTTGTGAGTATCCTTGACGCCCATAAACCCACAGTAGCCCCTTTGTCTCACCTCCTTGAAATTGAAAATAAATAGATAAGAGAAGAGTCTTGGTCCTGGTCCCTTTACGGATTCTGAATCGTTTCTTTCCTTTTTGTTGGTGTAAATGAAAAGATGACAGTTAATTGAAATAATTTTTCTCTTGAAGATTTTATTTTGACTATTGTTTTGATTTGAAAATTATTTAGACGATCAATATAATGGATAAGAGTTCACTTTATTGACAAGGGCTTTCCACATATGAAAAACAAATGTGGACATCGAATTATTGGCGGAAAACATGCTCATGGCACCATTTTTGCCTCTTATAAATTGAATTCGAAATTTATGACAATAATCTTTTTCTTCAAGGAGTTGTGAGATTCTGCTGTATGGTAAAATCTACTTTTCTTGTTGCTTTGGGCTTGATAACAGCTTTTGCTATTCTGAGGTCTGTATTTGCATACACAATATGCCCATGATGTATTTCATGCTTTTCAGCTTCTTTGACTCGGCTCCTTTTTCCTAATGTTCTAATACTTTTCTAATTTAACCTTGTTCTTCACCATCTCAGCCTGTTCAAGAACCGGAAAAGATGACACAAATTATTGTTGAAGCTTTAGAAATAACTAAACAAAGGGGCATCATTAACAAAGGCTGGGGTGGCCTTGGAAATTGTGAGTACTCTTTTCCTTCCTTCTTCATATTTGCTGAATACAATGGATTTTTGTTATGCATATTCTTATCTGCAATTTAACCTTTGTTCACAGTGGCCGAAGAAAAGGACTTCGTATATCTGCTGGATAACTGCCCTCATGACTGGCTTTTCTTGCAATGTGCTGCTGTGGTTAGTTGTTTTTTATGTTTAGATCTTGCACCAACATTTATAACATTTTTTTTTTTTTTT